TAACCAATTGCCTTCATCATAAATGTCGATAGTTGCATAAAAAGGTAAGTGATCACTTAGGAAAAAACTATTAAAGGCCTTGAAAAAAATTTGGATGCTTAAAAAGAAAAATTATGATTAAAGAAATTTGGGTTTATTGCTTTGCTTATGGTGGTAGAAAAGGGGTAAAGGTAAAGTTGGTGTTTTATGGTTCAATTGTGTTTGGTTATGAAGATGTATAAGTCAATTTAGAGGTATGCATTGATATTACAATAATGTTTTCAACATGATCGATTTGACTATCGAATTTTGATGAATTCTAAAATTGAGCATCAATGTTTGAAGAATAATCACATTAGTATGACATTCATTTGAGCAATTTTATGAGTTTATCATCCGAAAACCCTCATAAGACATAACTCATCCATTGAGGGTAACCTAGGGGTTTAAAGGCTTGTTGCATGTGTTAAATGCAACCATAATTCTTATAAAATTATGTTAGGTTTTTGTTTTATTTGTTTTGCCTCGAGGACTAGCAAATTTTAAGTGTGGAGGTATTTAATGAGTGCATAATTAATATGATTTTTATGTTCTTTTACATTAAACTTTCTAGTGTTTATTGTACTATATTTAGGAAATTAAGATAAAGTTAAAAGTTTGAGTTTTGTAGAAAAAACATTAAATTAAAGTAAGAAACCTAAACCAAAAGCAAAGAGAAACCAAAAGCCACCAAGAAAGCTTAAAGAGACACATGATTGTGTGTGATTCAAGAAGAAATAGTCGATGGTAGTGTAAAACAAAGAAGAAAACCTTGTGGATATCTAGTTTTATTAACTTAGACATTTCAAACTTTTTGTAGGTTTTCCGAAGGCTTAAAGTTGGATGTAGAAGAAGTGGCCTTCAAAGATTTTGTAGAGTACATCTCAATATTTCTATAATGATATAGTAGGTCAAAATCTAAGCTTGTTTAGACCTTTGAATGATATATCATATTCTAGCTTAGAAAACTCGATCCGAATCCCATTCGGAGTCCATATCGGTTGTGGTGTTTAAATTATATCTAGAGTTTTAGAACCCCAATTGATGCAAGGACGATCCTATAGAATACTTAAGAGGTATGCCTACAAGTTTTATGAAGGTCTTAAGTCCAAACTAGTCGTTATCATGGAGTAATTCAGCTGCAAACCAAAATCTTAAGGTCGGCGGCTAGGTTGAGTCAATGTTAGTATTTTGCTCATAATAGAAGTTGTATGTATCCAATTAATGCAAGCTTTAATTCTCTAGATAGATAAGAGATAGAGCTACAACTTTCATGCAGAATGAAAACCATAATTTGGCCTATATTAAGTCCATTCAAGCTAATTATTTAGGGATATAGGATGAAGTGTAAATTCCACATGAGTAGAAGCTAGAGACATGGGATGAAGCAAAAAAAGACACGAGATGAAGTGTAAATGGCATATTGTTATGTCTCTTACTCAAGCAAGTCTGTATGGGGCTGTCATGTATGTGTTGTTACACTTCTTTTGGCTATAAATAAAGAAGTTAGGGTTTTATTTTGAGGGAATCTTTCAATTCTAGGAGCCACACCACTCTTGTAAGCAAAACCTTACAACTCAAAATAAATCCCTTTTTAATTAAAGGGAAGTTAAAGCTTTTGGTTAAATCGTTGTGAGATATTACGAGTTTTATTTCTAAACTTATCTTGTTTAAGTGTTTTATGTTTTTTTGTATGATTGGTTTCTAGTTGTATGATTAAATAGATTAGAATAGACGCTAGTTGTTTGATCACGTTAACTTATTATTAGCTAACTATTCAAGTCCATGTAATTGCTTGTCTAAACTTGTCTCGTGTAGTAACTAGGGGTTGATGATTATTTTTTATATTTTTATTCAATTCCTTGAAAAATATAGAACTAGGTTACATCTTCTTTAAGTACTTAGGAAGTGGCTTAGCTTGACTCGTCTTTCTCTAATTTATGTTGTTATTGGATTAAATTTTTCTAGCACTTAGTAGGTTATTCGAGTAACTAGAAAATTAATTCGGTATCATATATTTAATTAACAACTAAGTAAGGAAAGACCGAGGTCGACATACTTGTTGTTATCCTACGATGAATATTCATATTTAGGATAAGTAATAAATTGAATCAATAATCAATGACTAAACTAAAAGTGCATATGAAACTTCAACCAAGGCCTTTCCCATTATTGTTATTAAATTTTACTTTTGATTTCTTACAGTTCACTACAAACATAAACCCTCATTTAATTCAAAACAATCGGATAATAAAGACTATTAATTAGGCTCCTTCCTTATGGGTTTGACTCTTTTTTATCCTATTTACACCTTTGTGATTGGGTTTCATGAGAAAAATATAAATTACTAGTCTATTAGCGGTATGACACGCCATCATTTGCCTACGTTGATAAATGCTAATCTCTATCGAAAAATAATTTTTTTTTTGAAAAACACTTAAGTTAACAAAGAAAAGAAGTAATAAATATAATTTGAGATCATGACTGGAAGATGTGTTGCTCTTCATTACTTAAGACACCAATCATGTAGTCTTTTAGGCTTCATGATGTTTTTCTGGGGGAAAAAAATCTCATTTGAGGGTTTACTAAGGAAAGGAGAAAGATTTTTTTTTTTAGGTTTCAACAAAAGAGGGATTGTCCCCTCTACCTTCTACTCATAAAGGTTATTAAAAAAAGAAAATGTATGTAATTTTAGGATTATGATTTGAAATTTTGTTAGAAAAATTTGAGTAGTTGAAGGTACGAGAGTAAATGTTTTAATAGAAAGAGTTTTTAGGGTATTTTCTTGAAGATTCATCTTAAGAGGTTTGGGATTTTGAAATTTGAGGGATTAAGAACCGAGATGGGTTTGGGTTTTCAATTGTAGAACTATAGCGATTGCTTCACAATAGAAGGAGAGAATAAGGTTGGAGGGTTTTTAGGTTTGGGGGATGAGAAGGAAGGAGAAGAAAAAGAAAGATTTGTGGGGTTTGATTTTGGGAAGAAGGAAAAAGAAGAAAAAGAAGGAATAAAAGAGGATATGTGGGTTCGATTCTAAAAAGAAAAAAGGAAAAAATGAAGGAGGAAGAAGGGAATAAAAGATGAAGGAGGACAAAGAGAAGATCTTTGGGTTTGATTCTACTAAAGATAAAGACAGATGAATGAGAAGAAGAAGAAAATTTGAAAGAACGAGGTACTAAAAAAATTGAAAAAAAGAGCTAATGGGCATGCTTGTGGAAAATTAAAATGAAGAACAAAAGATTATAGTTAGTTTGAATTAGAGGTTAGGGATTTTGTTGTAATTGGGGTATATTGGGGATATACCCAATATACATGGATCTTACATATATCTTACATGGCTTTTAAAGTCTAACTATCATGCTTCGTCACCTGTCATGTTAGCATTACTCAAAATTTTGGTAAAAAAATTAGATCGGTGCTAGTATTGTTATCGAAAGCTTAGTTGTTGACCTTTCTATCCAAAATTAAAAGAACAAGCTAAAGTCATAAAAACGTATATAGTTAATGATTTTCTAAAAAAATAAAGCAAAAAAATAATACTAACAAGAATACATTTGTGAGTAGCACGTAATTTGCATGCTTAATTTATGTGAATTTAGATGGAATATTTTAACAAATGATTTTATTAGACTTTTGATAATAACTTTAAAATATAATAGTTGCAATTAAATATTGAAACACATTGAGAAGTATTATTGATAACTCTTAAAATATAAAAATAGACGAATCTATTTTTTCCTTAAACATATTTTGATGTGAGAAGAAATTATTATACAAATCGGTCTACCATTTAAGATTATTGACCAAACATATAGAGTTTTTATACACTAGTAAATTTGTCTACCTAATTTTGTGATTAGGACTATCAATAGATCAAATTCAGATTAGATCTTAGTAGATCTAGATATGATTTGTTTAATAAAATGAATAAGATCAGATCAAATCTTATGAATTCGAAATAAGTTTTGAAAATGTGAATTTGAATTCACATTTTAACGTATACAAATTGGATTCGGAGTTGCATTGTTTTATAATTTATTTTTGTAGAAAATTTATGCTTACGATATTTAATATATTGTTTGAACATAAAATATATTTCAACAACTACACATATAATAAAATATACTATGATAATATTTCATCTATCAATTTTATAAAAACATCAAAATGCCATATAATTCAAAACCACAAAATCAAATAATTTTAATAAAAAATTATTTTGAATTAGGTAGGAAGTACGATAAAACTAAGAAAAAAACTAATAAATAATTTTTATTTCATATCTACGTGGTAGCAAAATCGATATCCGTTAATTCGAATTCAAATATGATAGAGTTACAAATCAAGACATGTAGGCTCCGTTTGTTTGGCGAAAAATAATTTTCAATAGGAAAATCAAATCCGAGGAAGCTATTTTTCGGAAGTTGTTTTCTAAAAAATATTTTTCGACGTTTAGCGATTGAATCAAAAAACTATTGAAAAATATTTTTCAGCGTTTGTTTGATACGAAAAAGAAAATACAAAAACAGTATCGTAGTTGTTATATCAAAAAGTTTTGAAAGAATTTCAATAAGGCACATTGACAATCTTATAAACTTAAACTAATAGATAATAATGTGATATTTTGTAGAATTAATTTCAACAAGGCATACAAAAATTATTTGAACTTGTCATTAACATGTTCCTATTGATATTTATTAGTAGAATTAATTTTTTTTAGAATGAGAAAAAAATAAAGTTAATCTTGTTGAATATTTTATATTAAAATTAAAATTTAAACTAATAAATAATAATGTGATATTTTATAATTGAAATAACACTACTTGTAAAACATAAAAAATATATTTAATTATTATATAATAAAATTATAATAAAAAACTTGGTTGGGTAAATAAAATACAAGAAGGCAAGGAGGACGGATGTTTCCAAAGTTTTGCCGGAGGAGTGCCTAGCCCACATCATCTCCTCGACATCGCCGCGGGATGCGTGCCGATCCGCATTGGTCTCCCATAACTTCCAATCGGTTGCGGATTCCGATGCCGTGTGGAAAAGATTTACGTCGTCTAACTATCTCGAGGTCATATCTCGCACTACTGACCTTATCATACTCACAGCTAACTTCTTTATCCAAGAAGGAACTTTTTATTTCCATCTTTGTAATAACCTCATCCTTATCAACAATGGTATGATGGTAAGGAAGATTCGCTTTATCTAAGAAGGAACTTTATTTGAATTATTTTTTTCCTCTCCTGTTTCCTCCGATGATTTTAGATATTCCATTGTTTTCTTTTTCCCCTTACTTGAAACACTACTTGTCAAGGAGATGTCGAGGAGATCACTCGTTCTTTTGTTGCGGCGGCGTTGGGTGGTGAGGGCGTCCTTGGGTTGGCTTCGGTCGCCGGGTGAGAACGGGATTGCGGCTACGGCAAATGGAAAATGTATTCCCTTTTTTTTTTTTCTTTTCGGAAAGTCGGTTTCCCAAAGTTTGCTCGTTTCCTTGACGGGAAAATAAGTTTCTTTGACTTTTTCCAACGTAGCCAAATAAACATGGGAAAATGGGAAAAACAAGTTTCGGGAACTTGTTTTCCTTGAAACAAACGCAGTACGTAAAGAAAAAAAAAATCTGTTAATATCATCATATATCTATAACAAGTTATTCTATAAAAATTTATCAATCCATGTTACTTTATTTATATTCGCAATATCACATAACTAAATAAGTATTAATACTCGCATTTTCTTAATCTTTTTTTTTAAATTCAATTTTTATCAATTCCTTAATAATACAAATATTTTAATACTCAAATTCTAATTTTCAACTAGTTATTTTTACATCCGCTCTCAATAAGTGAAATGACCAATATATATATATATATATTTAAGTTCTATAATAGAATTCATGTAAAACATTCTATTATATACCTTTAACATCTTAATTATTTTGAACTATAATTTTATATCTAATATTAAAATACTAAAACTGCATCTAATTCATAAAAGGTTGGCTTCACTTACTATGATTTTTACCATCAAATGTGAAATAAATGAAACAATCATTTTGAATATATTCATTGCTCAACTCTACAACAACTCATACCATAGCAAAAAATCAACACGTTAAACTTTTTTTAATTAGTCAATGCATAAAGAGTAGAAATGTAATGAATCTAAACAAATGAAATACCATAGGTTTTTTACGAAGTTGAATTAAGAAAAAAAATTGTGTGATTTTTTTAAAAATACAATCGTTATTGAAAAAAATATGAGTTATTTAAACTTCATAATAAATAAGTTCTAAATTTCAATCTAATCTTCTTCTTTTTTCATATTTAAAAATTTAAAATATTATATTTATCAAAAACATGTTATTTTTAGTTTTGAGTCGGATTATTATCGAATTAGATCAATATATAGATTTAAATTTGATCTATTTAATAAATGAGTTAACAAATTCGGATTATAATCGGATTCAAATTAAATTTTTTTTTACCAAATCTATTTAATTACATCGAATTTAGGTTAAAATATGATCTATCTGTGATGGATAATTATTTTATTCTATAACTATGACTTTGCTATTAAATATGAAAAAAATACATTCTAAAGTGATTTATTTAATAGATGATTTAGATAAATTTAATAATTTATAATAGTTTTATTGCTTTGGTCCTTGATTTTAGGTAGTGGATTAGTTCGTATATTGGACGATCATCAGTATAATTAAGTTGAATGAATAAGCATCATTATAAAAAAAAGAAAAAAAGTTTTAACAAATAAGCATAAATACAGACAAACACACGGTAAGAAAAAGAGAGAAGTAAAATTGTTTTTTTTTTTATTATCCAACTCAAAACGACAGTCGTTCAAATGCTTCAGATCCAATCCAGTACAGACACGACTTAATTATATAAATTTATCCTTAATTTACTGTATAAACAACAATTATTGCCAAACAAGAAAACACAAAGCACAAATTAGCAGAGTAAAAACAGAAACCTCCATTAAATAAAAAAAAAAAAAAATACACTTCCATTTCTCTCGATCCCTTCTTCTCTTTGCATCTCTTCTCAAAAAGCCTCTCTTCAACGAGGCCCATAAGAGGGACACTGAGAGATACTTAAGCGCGTACAGGAGAGAGGCCGGCCCCAAGAAATTGATTTTTTTTTTTTTTTTTTTTGAAATCTTGTAAGAGACTCACACAAGAGGAAGAAAGATCTATAATTGCCACCAAGTTCAGTTCTTGTCTCGATTAATTAACAAAAAGGTAACAAATTTCTTCATTTTGATTTAAACCCAATTTAGAGGCTACCTGTTTGCTGTTGTTATTTCGCTGTCATTACTAGATTTTTGTTGTTGCCAAATTTCTTCTGTTGGGACGTCACTTTAGAAAGATATCTCACTCAGTTGTTTACTCTCTTACACCTAACAGAAAAGAAAGAAAGAGAAATAAATCATGTGTTACTTTGAATTTGTTTATATGGGTTTTGCTTTGAGTGTAAATTTAGCTTTATTGCATTGTTGAAAGAAATTTGCGCTTTTTTGATTTTTTTAGATCTTATGTCGTGATAGATTTGTGATGGCTTTATTGTGAATTGTGTTGCAGAGTGGGTTGTTGATGGTTAGACATGGATTTATAGAGACCCTTTTCGGGGAATTTGGTTTTGGAGTGGAGAATTGGAAGTAGGCTTTTTGTTGTTTTGGAGAATGTGGGTAATGCGGAGATGTTTGGTTTAATTTTGTACGCTTAAGTGGTTGTAAAGGAAGAGGTTTTTGTTTGTTTGCATAGAAATGGCTGATGCAGCTGGGTTAATGGAGGCCGCTGGGGCTAGATTTGGTTCATTGGAGTTGATCGGGAGAGGATCATTCGGCGATGTTTATAAAGCGTAAGTGTTCATTTCTTGTTTACTGTCGGTTGTTTAAAAAAATTGTATCTAATGTTGGTTACCTTTGTATTGTGGGAAAACTTGTAAGAATATGTTTTGTTCTGTACTTTTGGAAAGTATATGTTTCAATGTGATTATAGGCCCTTGATAATTACATAGTGGCATTAGAAAGATGGATCATTTTATGTTTGCAGCACCCAAATAGCAATTCTCATGCTTGTAATAGTTTGAAACTCTACATTTCTGAGGGTGTCTCTTTAGAAATTTGTACAATATCACTGTAGATTGCATGGGAACATAAGTTGTCAGTACTGCAGTTGTGTAACTGCATCAGAACATTAAGGTGGTTGGTATCTATTACACTAGGGAAATTCAAGATCATACTCTGGAATTGTCAAAATCACCTATGAAATGAAACAAAAAATTGTATAACACACAAAACAACCTAAAGAATTAAGTTATTTCTCACAATGAGACAAACTAATCTATCATTTATGCAAAATCAAAACTACAAAAATTAGGATGATAAATTAAAATCTCAAATTCTTGCCAATAGTAGGAACAAGGGATTCTTCACTTCAAGGTGTCATGGAATATGATCTCTAGAAGAAATTTAATTCCATTTGTTTAGTCCTGTAATTCAGATATAGCAGAATTAGTGAAGGATTTTGCAATAAATCTGCACTCAATTTGCATATGTTACATCTTCTGTATTATGTCATAGAAATTCCTTTACATGCTTAAAGCATTGTGCACATTGTTTTACTTAAAATACATCCATAATTGTGTGAATATGACAGAGTTGTATGAATCTCCATTCACTAGTGGCCATTATTGCAAGCAGTTTTGATTTCTAAAATGAAGCTTTACCATCACAATAGCTATCAGAAGAGTGTATGTGCTGTACTTGTAACCACTGATACCTTTATAATTTCCAGGTTCGATAAGGAGCTTAACAAAGAAGTTGCTATCAAAGTTATTGATTTGGAAGAATCGTAAGTACACAACATTAATTATTTTGCCTTTTGTATTCTGCTCTTCTATCAAAATGAGATGATTAATCATATTTGATCTTTAGCCTTTACCCCTGGGTTCTCTCTCTCTCTCTCTGTACATGTGATTATTTTCCTATCCTGAGAGAAACTGAACGACACCCAGTTTTCTGTTCTTCCCTGATTCTCAATCGTTCTTTAACTTTACTGAAGCGCAGTACGTAAATAGACTTCATCAATTCCTCCCAAAGTAAGTTGTAGGTGTTAAAGCTGTTGAACCACACTTCACCGTGTTATAAGAAAGCATAGACTACGGGGTTGTTTTGGCAAGTAGATCCTAGGCGCAAATAGGTGTTATACCATGGCCACTTAACTACTTGCTGATATTTTATTGAAAGCATGACTTGGTGCACTGTTGCTGATATCTATGGTTGGGGAAACAGTCGCAACAATGATATCAAGTGAAATTAAATGTTTTTTTTTCCCCTTCAATTTCCCATGTATCATGAAGGAAGATTAGTATTAGCAATAATAAGTACACATCACCAAAAAAAAAAAAACACCAAGATTTTGTAAATAAAAAATGAAACATCCGCTGGTATCTGCCGTTTTGGACTTCTTCTATGACATGCCTTGCCACATGGTAAAATGCCTGTTGGAGGAAATTTCTTGTTATATAGCTTCTTGGCTCTCATTAAGGGTGGCCTGAAGCTTTTTGTGTTGCAAACAGACAATTATTCCTCAATTTTTTTCTCCATAAGTAATTTTAGCATGCAAGCTTTATAAACAGTATAATCTGGTTGTTTATTTTATGAATCTTGCTTGATTTTGCCTTCTGCAGTGAGGATGAAATTGAGGACATTCAAAAGGTATTAACTCTTATTCAAGGTTATCAATTTATTATATTTGATGTTTTGTTCCTCATGTATCAAATTTTTTTTTCTAGGAAATTTCTGTTTTGCAACAATGCCGATCTCATTATATCACCGAGTATTATGGATCCTATCTTCACCAGACGAAACTATGGATAATTATGGAGTTCATGGCCGGTGGATCTGTTGCTGACCTAGTAGGTTACTACATTGTTTTGTTTTTGTGCTGCACAAAACTAGTAATGTTGTCTGTGCAAGATTCTTAATAATGCTTATTTGCAATGTTGATGTGGTAATGGTCAATGATTATTCATTTACAACTGAACCATGTAATTTCCTAGATAACAATTATTCACTGGAAAGCTAATGTACTTTTTTATTTTTACAGCTGCAATCAGGTCCTCCACTGGATGAAATGTCAATTTCGTGTATTTTACGGGACTTGCTGCATGCTATTGAATATTTACATAATGAAGGAAAAATTCACAGAGATATTAAAGGTTTTGCGGAAATTTTAATTTTCTTAATTTTGCTTTTAAGTTGCATGCTTTCTGTTATTTATTTAATGCTTGCTCAAAATTGCTTGTCCACTGATATCCTGCACACTTAATATTGGCAGCTGCAAATATTTTGTTGAGCGAGAATGGTGATGTTAAGGTATGCTCTTTTTTCTTGAATAGGTTTATAAAGTCCCCGTGATTATCTGTTTTAAGTGTGGTGAATTAGAAGAAGATATGCATAATTTTTGGGAGGAAGCATTTTATATATGATAACTAGTGTGTGCTTACTTTTAGTATTCCAAGTTACTATGGTGACCTTGTGACAGGTTGCAGATTTTGGCGTTTCTGCACAATTAACAAGAACAATATCTAGGAGAAAGGTACTACATCTTATTCAGTTAAGCTTTGTTCTTCAATCAGTAAAGAGTGTGTCACTGATTGGAATGTGCCTTGTAGATTTTCTGTTTATTATTTATTGTTAGGTCTCCTGTTTTAGGACCTATTCCCTGCTAAACACGTAGTATGTGCATGCATGTTTTTTGTCTGTTAAACTATTTTGAAGGAAGAGCAAATAATTGCTACTGAAAAATAGTGGACCAGCAGAAACTATTGTTGGCGTTCTTGGAAAATGATAATAGATCACAATTCATTTGTTAAATTAAAACAATTGAAATTTATGCTCAATTCATAGAAAATTTTAGGAAAAAAGAACTAATCGAATGAATTCCTTTTCTAATTGAAAAAATGAACTTTCATTTTTATTGCTTTCTATACTGGCCTTTTACTTTGGACCAAGAGATTGACTATTTAGAAGGTGGAGACATCACCATTATTTCCTCCTTGAATGATTGGTGTGGTTGCCCTTCCTGTTGTTCCTAGTTGGCTCATCTGCGTTGGCCATTTTGGGCCAGACCTGTTGACTGTCCTTTTATTTTCAAAGCTTTGTAATTCAAGTTTGTAGCATTTGTTGGATGACTGGAATTCATCTTCTTAAGATATTTTTTCGTTTAACCATTTCTTTTGTCCATTTCAAAATTCAAGTAGGTAGCATTCTTTGGATGACAGGAACTCATCATCTTCTGATATTTATCATTTAATCATTTTTTGCTTTGTGCTGGCATCCAACTACGAGTGAAAAATTTGTTCAGAAATGTGCTAATTTGGTTAACAAATAGACTTTTGTAGGAACACCATTCTGGATGGCTCCGGAGGTGATTCAGAATTCAGAAGGATATAATGAGAAGGTATTTTTGAAGCAGTTTTGAGCTTTTCTTTTGGATTTTCTGATTTGTTTTGCTGGTTTTATACATCACTCCTCTCTCTCCCACCCTCCATCTCGATGTTTGAGTGTGGCCATGCTGAAGCCCTTGCTTTATGCAGGCTGATATTTGGTCTCTCGGGATAACAGCTATTGAGATGGCAAAAGGGGAACCCCCACTTGCTGACCTTCATCCTATGAGGGTTCTCTTTATCATACCTCGAGAAAATCCACCACAGGTTCTCTCCCCATTCTTTAATGTCAAACTGATTAGTGACTTCGATATCATCGAATGATTGTATTTAACATATTAAATAATATTCAACATTTTGTGTTTCTTGTGCAGCTGGATGAGCACTTTTCTCGTCCTATGAAAGAGTTTGTCTCGCTCTGTTTGAAGAAAGTTCCTGCCGAGGCAAGTGTTTAATCCCTCTGCATTATATATTTGTTGTAAAGATACTCAGAATCATAATTCACCTGAATTGGTTTGAGGGTCTACAAATAAGAATCCTTCTTCCATGTTGTAACATTTTCCAAAGGAATGTGGACTGACAAGAAAGTAGGATGTTTTACCACCTACTGGTTGCGAGACCTTCTTACATGCTGACACATTGCTTTTTGTTTGGTGTCCTTTCACTCAAATGCCTTGAGAAGTACAAGGATTGGTTTACTTTCTTTGTGTCCCAACCTAATGAGATCATTGTTGCTTTTTCATTCCCCCAAATTTTATCAATTTAAAAATTTTACTCCATACACGAATAAAATAGGGATTTTTTGGAAGCAATTTGATGCTGTGTTGTGATTAAGATTCTTGTCCTTCATTTTTTTTTCTGAAGACACTGGAAGCTTTCTTGAAGTAATATGAAGTTGATCTTATCTCACTGTTTTCTTTTATTTGTCCATGTCTCTGAATGTTCTGCTACGTGCTAGTTGAAATGGTGATGGGAATTTAATATTTCTGGTGTTGGCTTAACCATTATTTGTTTTCTTATATTTCAAATTTCCATTTATTGAATTTCAGAGGCCAAGTGCTAAGGATCTTCTAAAGCACCGGTTTATTAGAAATGCTAGAAAGAGCCCGAGGCTTTTGGAAAGAATAAGGTGTGACATTTTGCTTTTGTCCATTGCCTTAGTACATTGCACTCCCGCTGAAACAAATATGGTTGTTAAAGTTTTTCTCTTCACTGTCTTCTTCACCCCGCGCCGCCCCCACGTCAGTATTAGGGATACTGACATGGTGCCCAATTGGATATATGAAGTCTCATAAGGGAGCTTGAAATGTGCTTAATCTTGTCTCAGGCTTTATTTCCTGCAACAGTTCCTGAAGTGTATTTTTGTTACATAAGCATAATATTTACTTTCTTGTTGTCATCCTTATAGAGAGCGCCCGAAGTACCAAATAAAGGATGTAGAAACCCCCAGAAATGGTCCTAAAGGAATGGGGGAGGGTTCTGATACTGTAAAGGTGGCAAGAGATTTAAGGGCCGATGGAACTGTTCGAGCCAGGTGGATTTCATTTGTTTGTTGTTTGTCGTCTGCATAGTGTGTTTTTATTCTAATGGACTGGTTTATTTTGCAGTGGTCAGGGAAAACCCTTCAAAAATGCTGGATGGGACTTCAGCATTGGTGGATCACAGAATACAGGAACTGTTAGAAGTGCTGCAAGACCACCTCAGGTTAGAGAAAAGAAAACAGATATTTCATACAATAAGGATAACCAAAGAAGGGCTTCAGAGAGTGGTAATCATTTGTTGTCTGCATCTGGAAATGCACTTCAGGAATCACTAGAATTATCCTTTGGTAAAGATGCTAGGGATCCATATCACGATGATCATCAGGATAATTCCCATGATGATGTAAGTCTCTCTCGAATAATACATTTTATCAAGAATGAAATATTTACCTGTGTTGTGGGCTAAGGATTGAGACCATGATAGTTTTCCAGGAAAAAAAAAACAAAAAACAAAAGAATGATGAAATCAGTCATACTAAATATTGATATGCTAGTGCCACTACCAACATGATTGGGAAAAGCGATATGCCTAAGCACAAGCCATGGCATTCTCAAGAATGAAATATTTACCTGTGTTGTGGGCTAAGGATAGAGACCATGAGAGTAAAAAAGAAAAAAAAAGAAAAAAAGAATGATGAAATCAGTCATACTAAATATTGATATGCTAGTGCCGCTACCAACATGATTGGGAAAAGTGATATGCCTAAGCACAAGCCATGGCATTCTCCTAGAACTTTTCCACCAGCTACACGCTATAATTTTATAGAAGTAAATGCCTACATGTTATCCAGTTTTTGTTCCAACCTGGTGCTGACTGGATAGGAATTGAATAGTGTGCTTAATTGCTTGGCAATTATAGCTGGAGAAACTGAACTAGCTGGAACTCTCTAGATCAAACTTCTAATATTTGCTGAAGTACTCAATTTCCAGGATGATTTGTCCGTGAGTGGATCAGGAACTGTTGTCATACGGACTCCTAAAGGATCTCAGTCATCTGCCTTGTTTCGAGATCAAAGCAATGCGGTACGACTTCTGTTCTGGTGTTAGGAAACTAAGTTATGCAATACATATTTTCTTTGCCTGAGCTACCCATTTATTTTATCAGTTTTTTATATTTTGTGTAGTCTAGTAGCACATTTGCTTCTTTTGAAGACGCTTCTACCAGTGGAACAGTTGTTTATCGTGGCCAACATGATGATTCGGATTCTCCTCGGACTCCTAAATCCAGATTAGGAATGCAAGAGAGAACTTCAAGTGCATCACTGGAAGACAGTGCTCTAAATCTCGCTGAGGTTATTTCTGTTTTAGTTTTATCTGATAATTTCATTAGGATCTTGTAAATACAGCCCATTAATCATTGGATCCTTTATAACCAGTCTTGAATTGTTATTTAGTGTTTCTCAACTGCACTCACTTTCTTTCCTGAATCAATCGTAGAACTTCCTTTCTATGTTGCTTGTTTTTATATTGTTTTATTTTCTCATATGAAATTTGAATTGTCTTCTCCAATCCATTTTGTCCCTGGATCTTCCTAAAGCTTTTTCTCAAGTCACGTTTTTGTTTTTTGGGCCAGATTCTTGGCCTTTCCTCTTTTCAACAGTTTCTTGTTAACATGGAGATTTTGATCTGGAATTTTTCACTGTACTTGTGTTGAGTAGCTTCTTTGTTTGATGTGTCTATGCAGGCAAGGGCTGCATTTCAAGGAGGCTTGAGGAAAGGAAATGCTAGAGAAAGGTTTGTACCAAGCAAGATTAACAGTGATGGGCTGGATAACAGAAGGAGAGAGCATGGGACAGACAGCTCTGATAATTCCAGGTACATTATACTTGAACATGCGGATAATCATTTTGCCTGCATAAAAGAAGAAAGGCTTTGTGCAAATTTCTGAAGGGCAACACTTCTATCTCAGAAGTTCTCGTGAATACTTCGATGCACCAAAAGCTTTTTCAAGATCACGCCAAGCAAACAACGATGAAGAAAATGCAAGAATAGCATCATCTTCAGCACCTTTGTCGGTTTTGCTTATCCCATCCTTAAAAGAGGTGAGCAGCCCAATAATTTTATGTATCATTTTTCAGATTTGCATTAAAGAGGTAATGCAGTGTTGTCATTTTGTAAATTACAATTTAACTTCCAAGGTGAATAAGTCAGTTATGGAGTTCCTTTCTCTCAACAAAATGAATTTTGGCAATAGAGATGGGATGACCTAGGAATCCTCATCAATTCATATAACCTCTTTAGAATCTGACTAACCATTGCAAAGAACATGGTACTCACTATGCATTAAATATGGGCCTTTGGATCATTTATTGTATCTGTTGAGGATTATATGAAACATGGAAGATTTTGTTTTGCTTTTCTTCTTTTAATTTTGAACAAGCTTGCTTTTCTAGTCAGTGCATAACCTTATCAAGAAATAAAAGAAGTCAGTTCATAAAATGATTTTTGCTACTAAGTCTTTAGGTTGCTCTGGTCTATTGCATTTAATAACGAAATATTTATGTTGTTATTTCTTCCCATGTTAACTAGACTTGTGCTATTGTTTCTTTTCTTTCCCTTTTCTCTTGTTCGTTTATGTGCCCTTTAGAAATTGTTGGAAGAATGTTGTTTTTTTTTCTTTTCCTTTCAGTGTATTCGGGTGCTATTGCACACAATGTCTTGTATTTTTAGTGATTTACTATGTATAAAAAGGTTTTGAGCATGCTAGGTACCTGCTACAGTAGGAATTGTTGGTTCAATTTCCATGCACACTCTTATGGTTCACATGTTCATTTTAAGTTTCAGTACTGAGTTCAACTTCATCTATTTCATTTCTAATGGTTTGATGTTCAGGCGGTTGCTGATGATTCAGAAGGATCAGTTGTGCGTGCAGTAACAAATTCGTTTGTAAATATGGAGCGCTTAAACCCTGGATCTTGTGACATCTTTATCAGAAGTTTGCTTCAGCAATTGGCAAGGTTTAAAATTCTCACTTGAGCCCCCAAAGAAATGACTCTTAATGTGGTAGTATTTGTTAACATAGCAGCAATTGTTAGTTCAAATTACTGAAGTAAAGGTGATTTCTGCAGTTCGGAAGAATCTTCAATGAAAGATCTGCAGGAGCTTGCAACTCGCCTCTTAAGCAAGGGCAAGACAGCCCCTGAAGAAACTAAAAATGCAAATACAGAAGCTGATAACAGGAAAAAGCAACCAACCAAGGAATTTAATTCAAATGCTAATTTAAGCCCACTTGCGAGGTTTCTGCTCTCGAGGTTTGTTAAAGTGATTTTTGCACCGTAAATGCATTGTTTACAATTTGAAAATAGGGAATTCTTGCATCTGACTCAAGCATGTTTTGGTATTACAGAGTTTTACATGATTTTTTTTAATGTATTTTTAAATAGCAAATAATGATTTTTCTGATTTTCTTTCAATATTTTATGTTCCAATGTATATTTTAGTGGTTTTATGGATACACTGAGAGGTGAACGAACCTTTTTTCTCATGCAGATGGCAAGGCCAAGTTTCACGAGATGTTAATACAACTTGAAAACTTTAAAGGAAGAGCTTGGAGTGAGGCTGAGTACATCATCTTACTTTTTGTACTGTGTTACCTGTTTATGCATTCTTTCTTTCAGATTTGATGTACATATCATTTTAAGTGCATTTATAATATTTCTGTTATGATTATTTGCCCTTTTCATAGTCTATTAATTGTAGCAGCAGAATTGCTGTATAATTAGTAGCGGTTGCTATTATCATCTTAATTAACAGTGTAACTTTAGGAACATTAATTGTATTTATTATTATATTCTGGTATAAATTTTGTCCCAAATGTTTGAATCAACATTTTAGAATCTCTTTCCAACTCTATTTTGCTTGCTTTGGTTGGTGAGAGATTACTCTTGATGCCACGTTCCAGTATCCCCGCTAATTTTGCGGACAAAGTTCTTTCCTTTCTTGGTGAGGTGAGTGAAGAAGAAGAGATTCTCGCCATGGCGTTTCGGGAAGGAGTCCATTTCTCTGGCATGGTCGCCAAAGAGATGAGAATCGCTAACGAGAACATTGAGGGTGGTGAAGAGATCAGGGTTAGAGTTTCTGGGGTTTGTGATAGAGGAGACCGTACTGTGTTTTGCAAAGTCGTCATCGTCATTCTGTCAATTGAAAGCTAACATGGATATTTACTGGTTTCTATAATGCCGAGTGTTTGGTGGATCAGAATTGACGACGAGGATGATCAAATTCAAACGAAAAAAGAAACTTTACGGATTGATTAATTGACGGATGAAAAGGGAAACTTCATTTCTTGAAGATTTAAAAGACGGGGAGAGAGTGTAATGAAGCAACTTGTGAAAAAATTCAAATGCAAAAGCAGTATATTGTTGCTGAAATTATATAAAATACATAAAATTGACTACAAAAATTTCAATGTTAACACAAGAGAGATTTTAGTTAGCGTTTTAGTACCTTTAAATCTTCTTTGTATACTCGAGATGATATTTTTTTTAAATAATATGCGCTTTCCTTACAACATTATGAACTTTAGCATTTCTGACTTTTCAAATAAAATAGACTTATGAACACCAAGTAATTTGTAAAACAATTGAATCAAATTTCTGCTTCTCAAAAATTGTTCAGCCTAACAAAATTTCAAATAAAATAGGCTCCCCAAACTTCATCTTTCAAATAATAAGCCTGACACCATACAACCCCTTTAACAAAAGACACCATTTACTTTTGACAATTCCATTCTTCTATTTTCCTAAAACCTAAGCCTCCTTCTTTTCTCAGTACAGTAACATGTGACCATGCAACTTTTGCTCTTCTAGCAGAATCAGTCTTACCAAACCAAAGGAAAGCATTGCACTTTTGTTCAACCTCTTTAATGACCTATGCAGACAGGATGAATAAAGAAGTCTAATAATTTTGAATGTTAGAAATCACAGTAGAGACTAATTTCAACTCGATAGCAAGAAGAAGAAGAAGAAGAAGAAGAAGAAGAAGAAGCATTTTTATAGCCCAATATTGCAATCTTGTGGTAATCTTCTCAGCCAAATTTTGGCACTCTCCAACACCCAATTTTCTCTAGATGAGAGGGATTCTTGACAGTTTAATTACCTGTCTCTAATTAATTTGCTTAATGTTGAATTTCATTGCAGAAACCTATATACGTTGAATTTATCTTGACTAGTTGTTGAAAATCGTCGAAACTCTTTATAAAATTTAAACTAGCTGAGATCATGTCATTCCCTCATCATTGCACTTGGATAGCTTTATTTTTCCGGTGATAAAACAGAGTAATGTATCTCAACTCTGTCTATAGTCAGTAAATTGCTTCTTTCGAATATGCCTTTTGTGTAACCTCTCCTCTACGCTTGAATATTTTGACAGTGAAGGAAAATTCCATGTCTCTGCATGAACTGATGCTTGCGCTCTGTGAATGCAAGCAAGGCATTCAAGTTAATGAGCATGTTCGACTTGTGAAAGGAAATATCGGAATTTTGGAACTGTGCTAGAACTTCTTCTGGTATCTAGTGAGTAGATTTTCTTAGGCTGGAAAAAGAATTAATCATCATGCACTTGTTACAGATCCATTGTGAACAGTTGGATCCTATCTTTACGACCTTCTCTGGGAATCGTTACTTTGGTGAACTAGTAGTATCTCCAAGTACAAGAATAGCCTTGAGAAATAGATCCTCCATGCCTATAAATAATAGTATAAATTGTACACCCCCAGTACCTCCCAATTTAGTCTTTCCTGATAGACGCTGTTATTATACATGACATATACTACTGTGTAGGAGGCACGCATGCTACTTTGGTATTTCTATTCATCAAGTTATTCCACTCCCTACTCTCTCTATTAGTGGGTGAGTGTTGTCCAATCTTTAATTCTCTGTTCTTGAAACAACTATGATAGTACATACCATGACACTGATCCTTGGATTCTCAAGTTGTAATTGATCTCGCTCCAAACACACTCTATTAGTGGTGACTGATCTCCAATCTTTCATTAAGACTTATTAATGGTCCTCTCAGATTAGTCTGGTTCAAAATAATCTTAGTTGCCTTTTTATTTCCTTCAATTGTTTGGACAGTGTCATCTCTGTTTATTATCATCTGCACCCTTGCTAAATGCTAATATTATCATGTTACTTAACTATGCCCTAGCAGGATAAGCAACTAAAAGATGCGATGGGTGCAACTGGTTTCGGGTGTGTCAGCTCACATGTGGGACGGTGTACCAATTGCTGTATAATTAGGTAGCATTGGAACGGTTGAAAAGGAAGCATTGGGGTGGGCAAGAGTACATCTTCTTTCTTTATGGTTTGATGTACACTTGTTCCTAAGAAATTGTTTGTTGTAGCAGCAGAATTGCTGTATAATTAGGGATGGATTTGCTATTGTTATATTAATTAACAGTATAATTTTAGGAACATTAATTGTATTCAGTATTATGTTCAGGGAATTGCCTTCCCTTGAAATCATTCTTCCATGGGAATGATACTGGATTGTTCAATTACTGATTCATATCCACAGGCACAGGCAGAATCCAGTGTTAAAAAAAAAAGGGCATCTTTTCACGAAACGAAGGCTTCTCACTTGGATATATTGTCAAAATAAGAGAAGGATGTAAAGAAATTGAGAGAAAAAAGAAATGCTATTATTATCACCCTATCAATGCTGGGAACTACAAAAACTTTTACTTGATAAATGAAGCAATTTACACTAGTGTGTTATCTAATATTATCAGAAATGAATCAGCTGTAAAGCATTTCTTGTTTCACTGCTTAGAGAATTTTCTACTTCATCTCCGGCGAGAAGGATTCTTTTGCAGGAGCGAGCTTACAAAATGCTGCAGAATCCAAAACTGTAACCAGGGATACGAAAATAGCAAATCACATGAGGGACCAGGAACATTACTGAAATAAAAGGAAGGAACATTGACTGAAATAGAAAAGAAAATAGCATCGAAATTTTACGGGTATAGCCAATGCACAGAAGAGAGCCATTCGAACGTTTAAACATATTAGAACAAGTGAACAACTGTGGTAACTGCATCGACAAGATCATATGATGATGTCAGGTCCTGAAAATAATTTTCATTATCCATCGATTTGCCTTGCTGTACTCATTACAAGCTTAAAATTTTCAAGAGAACAGAAATCCAATAGGGATTAGAAAAATCAGAGTTGAAGCATTATGAAAACACACAAGGCTTAAGGAATTTCAGCCCATCCAATTCTACCATTTTCTAAAGAAACAAACACAGGATTTAAATGAAGATCACTCTATCAGACTGTTTCCAATTGCGTGCAAAAGAGGAGAACAAAGCTGAATGCAGCGGCCAAGGTTAATAACCAGATAAGAAGAATAAAACTGACCAATACCTGAAAAGAATTGAAGAATTACTTATGTAAGAACCATCTCTATCACCATCTGTTAAAAAGATCATGAAGGTCCGATCATGGATTATACAAGTTCAATGTTTGTCTTCCTCTAGCTACTAATGATCGAACTTCTACTTGCTTGTTATGAACAAGATTAAATTCAACCCAGCCTGGGATATTACAAGCAAAACATAAAGATCCTTTTTCACGTCCCTAATTCTCCTGCCACAATTTAGCCACAACCAACTGCATTTCCTTAGTTCAGGTGAGTGCCCCATATCTTGAAACAAGAAAATTAGACCAACATCCAAGTTTCATTCCCCTCCCATTTACTTTCCTCGCAATGAAGCAAACCATTATAGGAACATTAAAGAAAAAAGATTTTCGACAATAATAATATAACCTTAATATTGAACTTCCCATTTACATCCAAGTTTCATTCTTTTCTTGCATTAGCCATCGATAATAAACCTATGTTTTCCCCACTTCATTAAACCTTTTCTTGATCACATATGTTAGAAGAAGATACAACAAGGGAGTGCTGCCTATTTATAGAGAACAGTTTGATCAGATGATGAAAGATTATAGACCCTGTTACATCATCTAATACATTTACGAGAATTTATAAATTCTTAAATTGGCATCAAACAACCCTGTAAACACACAAAAACTTAACGTTTTTTTCTGAAAGAAATGATGCCAAGGTGCCTGTTTGCAGCTGGGAGTTAATGTCAGTGTCACAGCCTCCTTATGCTGGGTACGACTAAGATCCTTTGAATCCTTCAATAATTTTACAATTAGAAATTAAACAACAAAATTAAAAATAATTTCATGACATGAGAATAATACTCATAAAAGAAAAGAAAATTCTCTAAACATTGGCTGCTTACAGAATTCTTAATCCAGGAAATGGAAGGACAAAAGAGCAAATGTATGTCTTGAAAGCCCACCATTCACCACTTCCCAAAACACTCACCCCCAGTATAAGCCTATCCAGAAACCCAGTATTCTTTTCAGCGACAAATCCAACAGCAAAGAAGAATATTCCCGCAACTAATCTCAGTAGTAGCAAATTAATTACCTTTTGAGCAAATTGTTGCTGGCCATATAATCCGACAACAAACCTCCAGGCACCTCACCAAGACATTGAAAACCTCAACCCAAAAAGAGGCAGAAACCCTAAAAAGTAGAAGAGGCTGGACTGGGCTCAAAATATATGGGTAGGTTGTCTTGGATCCCAACCATCCAAACTCTTATTTTGTTACTACTATTTTCTTTCTATTAAAATGGAAATCCAAAATAATGAAAAAAAGAAGCAAAAATAAGGGCATACAAAAACTAATGAGGGCAGATTAGTACTAATGAAGAGAAAAGATCAAATGCGAGGAGCAGAAAAAACCGCGTAATTTAAAAACAGAGATGAGGGTAGGCTAGTAATTTGCATAAGAAGCCCTCCACCGCCAACAAACTAGCCGTTGGAGATGGAGACCTCCAAAGTCCTAACCTTCCCTCTCTTTTTATTCAAAGAAAAAAAAAACCTAATCTTGAACTCTCTCAGTTTCGGTAAACTTTCTCTTAGTTGATTTCTCTCTGTCTAGTAATCCCAATTTCTTTTTTCTGGTCTTCATCAATCATCATCAGCTCTCGTAATTTTCTTTCTGTCAATTTGAATTGGAAGCGTTGAATTTGCCATTGCAGATCCAAATTGAGGGTGTGGCTTATCTTTCCGTTTCTGATCAGGTTTGTTACCTTACTCAAACCAAAAATTTCTTTCTTTCTTGTTTTCAGTATTTTTCTTTCAGAATTGATTTGATTTTGTTTATTAATTGAACATCAGAACAAGACAATGGCTTCTTCTTCCAGGCATTGTGTGGGTGCTTTGCATAAAGAATTATCCAATAGCACTGCAGGTTTTTCTGGGATTCCTATTGGTTTCAGATTTCTGCCTTCTGACCGTGATCTTGTCATCCATTATCTATACAAGAAGATCAAAGGCATTCCTCTCCCTTCTGATTGCACTGTCACTTTTTGTGATCTTTATGGCCACCAAGAACCGTGGGAGATTTGGGATACCTTTGGAGGGAGTGACAACGAGGACTTGCTCTTCTTTACCAATCTCAAGAAGATTAGCCCAATTCCATCTCGGAATCTCAAGAAGATGAAGCAAAGTGCACCTAGGACTCATCGTCAAGTTGGATCATCCGCTGGTACATGGCATGATGAAGGACGAAACAAGCGGTGCGAGTGGCTCGGAATTCAGTGGCTTGTCAAGATATTCACCTACGAGAATCCCAAATCCACTACTCAGAATGGGGCTTGGATGATGCACGAATATAGCCTTCTTCCTAATGATATTGTCGGCACTCCTACTGCCACTGTTGTTTGCCGTTTGAGGAAGAAAAAACCCAAGAGGAAGAGGGGGTTGGATAATGAAGAAGAAGGTGATGATGATATGGCTAAGAATCGCAAGCGCTCCAAGGCTGATCAGCTAGCAATTTCAACCACAGCTGTTTCTGTGAGTGTGAACCCACCACACAGCCTCCTCCCTTATCATGGCAATGATGCATTTAATCCATTGGAACTCGAGCAAGTGGCAGCCCCAAACGACAACAATGATGAGCATCTGTTGTTGGACAGGGCAGATGACCCGCTGTGTGAACCTGAAGATCAGCTACAATGTTACAACATGTTGCTTAATGATTACGCTTATTCCATCAATGTTGATGGCATGCTATCAACTAAGCCTTCTAATTCTGATGGTGAATCAATTAATAATGCTCTTCGACAACATCAGACTGTTGGTATTGGAGAAGAAATGGGTCTCGATGAGGATGATATCCAGTCTGTTATTCAGGAGTTTTTATGCGAAGAAGCACCAAGTCTCTTGCAACAGAATTCAATTCATTCTTTCAACAATCAATTTGAAGATTTTTAGCGACTTCTGCTCAATCAGTTTTTCCATTGTAGGCAGCTATGTATGATCTCCTGGATAGAAACTAACGTTGTTTATTGCAAGTAGTTCACAGTTACTTGTTACTTACATCAACTCCTGGTTGGGATGTCATTTGTTTTTTGTAAGAATTCAATATACCCGTGGTTTCCTTGTGGTGATTCTAAGTCATGGGGCTACCAAATCTTGTAGTGTCAAATTTTTATATGATGGAGCTAGGAATATGAGTGTCCAAAATAGCATCAAATGTTCGGTTGAGGCTCTACATTTACATATTTGTTAGCTATATGGCTTTCTTGTCTCTTTCTTTTTTTCTTTTTTCCTTTTGCTGTCAATTTGTGTGCTGTATGACTGAGGTCGCTGGTAACCTTTGAATTGTACAACCTACAAATGATGTAGAAAATGCACTAGTAATTGTATTTATAGGTGAATAATATGTATTCTTTCCGCTTCCAATGGACTTTTGGGAATCAGTATAACTTCAGACCTTCTGCCAACACAGAAGTCCCTACAGAGGCAATTTACATATTGAGAATGTGAATAGCTTGCTATTCTTGCCGAGAGATGATGTTTTATGGAGAAAACTGAGGCTATTGCTGTAGTCAGAAATCACTGACAATTTACTAGGGTTTCACTCCAGCATTGGAGAGTTTCGATTTTTGTTAATCCTCCGGACAATGAATCCCTGAGTGGACCTGTGGATTTGGGTGATTGCAATAATTTTTAACAGCGATATTTTCATTCTTCTTTATATACCAGCACACTGTTGTCATCCTTTACTATCACTTTGGTCCCCCTTAACTCATAATCACATCTTCTATACGTGATGGGGATGGCATTCACTCTGATTCAGTTCTGACATTCACTATGATTCAGTTCTAGCAATTCCCTTGCCCAAGTTCTTATAATTGAACAGATTCCAACAAAAAAAAAAAAAACGATAATGGAAATTATGTATTAATATTATACCTTCTCTTTTTCTAATTAAACAGTAGCCATCAAGTTGATAACCAATGAGCAGTGGCTGCAGAGCAGGTTTTTGTGTAGCAACAAAATCCATTTCCAAGCTAGTTGAAAATGTTAGAGCTAGCTGGTAAGTATCCTGTGCTCATAGAAGAGCCAAAATAAACCACAAGGTAATAATCCATTGATAAGCAAGTATTGACGTGTAGGCTAGATCCAAAGTTCGATCCTTGTAACAAGCACTTCTGAGAATTTATTCTCCAAATACGTCATGCATTTGGGAGTGTCCTTTAGCCATATCAAAAAAAGATTAGTCTTGAGATGCACAAAAGTTGGTCCGAGGACACGTTTAATGCTAAAACTAAAAAAAAAAAAAAAGCAAACCATTCGTAACACTCATATCATTTTTTTTTTTTCATTTTATTGAGGTTCAAATAACTAACTATTAAAAAAATAAAAAACTGAAAGAAGGGGGAAAAAAGTAGTGGAATCCTACAAGCTATTGATCAGGTGTTGTGATATTGTTCATTCTACCATGGCATCCACAGAAGCATTATCCAAAATCAAAAGTAAAGATAAGGAGAACATGATTGAGGACAATTTTTTTTTTTTCTATATTCCCTCTACCATTATGCCTATTTTTCTTTGATTTCCACAAACGTCTAATGATTGCTGAAGAGCTTCGCGAAAAAAAAAAAAAAAAAAATCCCTAAACATAGAGTTAGTCAAATGGCAAATGGTTCAACATATTCTACAATTTAACCTAGCAATTGACAACAATAAGGTACCAGAAATAAAGTAGTGCGAAACAAAGTCTCACATGGAACTACCAAATGTTTTACTCTATCTCACACGATGACAGAGCTTGAATGTCTTTGTTGATGCCTATTTTTATCAGTGACAAATTGATAAGCCAAGCAATCTACACAGCCCTGTATGTAATATCAAAATTGAATCAGCTATCAGCAATATGGCATTTCTTGCTTCACATGATGCAAAATAGCAGATCTGATCCCATCAGGCTTCATGCTTTCAATAAACGAAGACTTGCACATGACTATCTTGGAGATGGGCCTGTTTTTTATATCAAACCAATCACAACCTGTCCACCATTTTCAGCAAACCAGAATCGAAATTAGCACCTCTTTTTTGCAGCATACTTTCCAAATTCTACTTCATCTTGAACGAGCAGTTTGCTTTGCAGGATTCAAATTCCAAAATGCAGCATGCAAAATCATAAATGCGGTAGGATGAAGAAATAGTATCTCACATGAAGGGCAAGGAAAATTACTAAATGGGAAGAAGGTGGACCATGAGGAACATGAAAAAAAGAAAGGAAAATAACATCTAATTTTCACCTGTATAGCTAATGCCAAGTGCATAAAAGAGCGCCATTTGAACGTTTGAAGTTTAAACATACCAGAACTGCAGCAACTGCAATGACGAGATGATATGATGAAGTCAGGTACAGAAAACAATTTTCATTATCCATCAAATTGGCTCGCTATATTCATTTATATGCTTAGAATTATTACAAAAAATAAAAATAAAAAACAAATCAAATGGGAACAGGCAAATGGAAGTACTAAGAAAACATAATGTTTAAAGAATTTCAACCTGTCCAATTCTACCATTTGTTTTTGGGGTACAAATTCAGGATTGAAATGGAAGAGCACTCTATTTTCAATTGGCTTCACGATCATTCAGTTATGACAGCATTGGCATCAATTCTACCCTAAATGCAGGACCTTGTTCAATTCTTGAAGTGAAATGCTTGCCAAAGAGGCAAAAGAAATGGAAGAGCAGGCCAGCTTTTTGCAATAGATTACGATACATGGCAACTAAAGGAAAAGACATGATCACTGACCACATTGGGCTGTATGGACCATAACTTGCCGAATTACAGGATATCGATAACATCCCCACCTATGCCAAACTTGATATCGATCCAATCAGAGCAAGTGGCATTTGATACCTACAACCCCCAAGGACAAAAGGAGTTAATTACCAGACAAGAATCCTAAAAAACACAACTAATAACAATCATAGGAAAATTACTTGTGTCATAAACATCCATATCAGCATCCTTTGAAGAAATACAAACGCATAAAGGTCGGATCAGGGATGAAGGAGGTCCAATGTTTGTCTTCCATGCCTACAGAAGATTGAATTTCTACAGTATTTCAATTTCTATAGCAACTCAATGAACACTGTTAAAATATCAAATTTAGATAACTACAAGATCCTATCAATTGCCTAATAGTCCTAATAAATATAACCCAAAAGACAAGTAAAACTTGAGCAAACAGGATAGTAACCTACAAGCAACACAATTTACTTACATAAAAACTAAGACCACAAAACCCAAAATTCAACTTTCCCATTTCTTTTCACTCCCTCGAATTTCCTCAGAAAAACGCACTCACGGGGAAAAAAAAAATCAATCTCTCTAATTTTTTCATAAACAAAATCAAAAATTGAAAACAACCCAAACGAAAACACACATAAATAAACGTACAGAATGACAGAAAACTTACAAAGTAAAAGCAAAGAAGAGAACAAAGGTGAGGATGGACTGAACAAAAAATGTTGCCGGCCATAGAATCCAACAATGCAACAACAAATCCCCACCATGCACCAACTCTCAAGTCTCAGGCAGTCAGGCAACTCACAAACCCATGGATTAGTACCGCAAAAGGTCAAAACCCTACAAGTAGAGTGTGAACTGGGCCCCAATATCAGGGAAGAAGGAACAGATGGGTCGGGCCTCACTTACGGGTCCGGATCCAACCAACCAAAACCAATATTTTATAGTTGTTTTTTTTAATTAAAAACGAACCCAAAAAAAATGAAGAAAAGAAGAAAAAAACCGCGTAGAATTTGAAATGCTAATGAGGGCAGATTACTAGATTAGTACTCATCGGGAGAAAAGATAACAGCAAAGAGCCATAAAAACCGCGTAATTTGCAAACAGAGATGAGGGTAGGTTAGTAATTTGGGTAAGAAGCCCTCCACCGCCAACAAACTAGCCGTTGGACACCTCCGAAGCCTAACCTTCCCTCTCTTTTTATTTAGGAGAAAAATCTAATCTTGAACTCTCTCAGTTTCGGTAAATCTTTCTCTCAGTTGATTTCTCTCTGTCTAGTAATTCCAATTTCCTTTTTTTGGTTCTTCTTCAATCACTGTCATCTCTCAGAATTTTCTTTCTGTCAATTCAAATTGGAATTGGTGAATTTGCCATCGAAGATTCAAATTGAGGGTGTGGCTTATCTTTCCGTTTTTGATCAGGTTTGCTACCTTTATTCAAGCCAAAAGTTTCTTGCTCGTTTTCATTATTTTTCTTTCAGATTTGATTTGATTTGCCTTGTTTATTAATTGAAAATCAGAACGAAACAATGGCCGCTGCTTCCATGCATGGTGTGGGTGCTTTGGATAAAGAATTATCCAAAAGCACTGTGGGTGTTTCTGGGATTCCAATTGGTTTTAGATTCCAGCCATCTGACCGTGATCTTGTCATCCATTATCTATTCAAGAAGATCAAAGGCATTCCTCTCCCTTCTGATTCCACTGTCCCTTTTTGTGATCTTTATGGCCACCAAGAACCGTGGGAGATTTGGGATGCCTTCGGAGGGATTGACAACGAGGACTTGCTCTTCTTTACCAATCTCAAGAAGTTTAGCCCAATTCCATCTCGGAATCTCAAGAAGATGAAGCAAACTGCACCTCGGACTCATCGTCATGTTGGACCATCCGCTGGTACATGGCATGATGAAGGACGAAACAAGCGGTGCGAGTGGCTCGGAATTCAGTGGCTTGTCAAGATGTTTACCTACGAGAATCCCAAATCCACGACTCAGAATGGGGCTTGGATGATGCACGAATATAGCCTTCTTCCTAATGATATTGTCGGCACTCCTACTACCACTGTTATTTGCCGTTTGAGGAAGAAAAAACCCAAGAGGAAGAGGCAGTTGGATGATGAAGAAGAAGGTGATGATGATATGGCTAAGAATCGCAAGCGCTCCAAGGCTGATCAGCTAGCACTTTCAACCACAGCTGTTTCTGTGAGTGTGAACCCACCACACAGCCTCCTTCCTGATCATGGCAATGATGCATTTAGTCCATTGGAACTCGAGCAAGAGGCAGCCACAAACAACAACAATGATGAGCATCTGTTGTTGGACAGCGCAGATGACCTGCTGTGTGAACCTGAAGATCAGCTGCAATATTACAACAGGTTGCTTACTGATGACGCTTATTTCATCAATGTTCATGACAAGCTATCAACTGAGCCTCCTAATTCTGATAGTGAATCAATTAATAATGCTCTGGGACAACATCAGACAGTTTGTATTGAAGAGATGAGTCTTGATGAGGATGATATCCATGCTCTTATTCAGGAGCTTATATGCGAAGAAGCACCTACGCTCTTGCAACAGAAGTCAATTTATTCCTTCAACAATCAATTTGAAGATTTTTAGGGACTTGTACTCTGCCAGGTTTGCCATTGCAGGCAGCTACATATGATCTTGGATAGAAACTAACATTCTTTATTGTAAGTAGTTGGCTGTTGTTAGTTACATCAACTCGTTTTTGGGATGTCATTAATTTGTTTTTTGTAATTGAGTTAGGAATTCATTATACCTGTGGTTTCCTCTTGGTGATTCTATGTCATGAAGCCACCAAATTTTGTAGTGTCAATTTTTTGCATGATGGAGCTAGAATTATGAGTGTCCAAAAGAGCTTTCTTTTTTTTTTTTTTTTTCCTTTGCTGTCACTTTGTGTGCTGTGTGACTGATGGTGACTGGTAAGCTTTGAATTGTTGAAGCTACAAATGAGAGAAATGATGTTGAGAATGAGCTTGCAAAGTGTAGACTCGTTAGGTTTTGTAGAATTGGTTGATTGAAATCAGAAAAGAAAATGCACTAGTGATTCTATTTATCAGGTGAATAAGCAAAATGATGTATTTACAGACATTTTAGGCTAGCAAGTTTGAAATCTTTGTGACTGGATCGAGTTCATTTTGGTCTTTCGAAAACATTGCTGACCATGGCAATGGCGTTATCAATGTGATGCTCTATTCTTATTTTTGTAGCTAGAATATGACTTATAGTTTGAGAGGTTCAGTTTGTTTATTATACTTCCTATGAATTTTTGGGATTTAGTAAAACTTCAGACCTTCTGCCAACACAGAAGTCCCAACAAAGGCAATTTTCATTTTGAAAATGTGAATAGTTTTCTAGTCTTGCCAAGAGATATGATTTTTGAAGGAAATTTTTTAAGCTATTGCTATAGTTTGAAATCACCAACAATTTACTAGGGGTTTTGCTCTAACATTGGAGCATAGGAATATAGTTGTAATGAGTATAAAAGCAGTTTCGATATGCTAATCCCCTGGACAAATGAATGCCTGTAGTTTTTGGGTGATTGAAAGAATTTTTTAACTACAATATTTTCTTTCTTCTTTGTAAATCAGGACACTGCAGTCATCCTTTCCTATCACTCTCCATTGATTGGTCAGCTTGCAGCATAATCACTTCTTCTATAAGCAATGGAATCGCATTCACTCTGATTCAGTTCAAGCAATTTCCTTGCCATTGTTTTTATAACTGAGCAGATTCGAACGAAAAGAAGAACGATAATAGAAATTATGTATAAATATTATACCTTCAATTTTTCAAATCAAGTCGAATTTTACAGGTGAAATGAATCTTGCATGCTAATTAAGGCCAATTGGTCCTACAGTTGGGTCTCCAAAATAGATCAGATGTTGTGATATCACAGCTTGCCTCCTTCCCATATTGCTCGTTCTACCATGGCATCAACGGAAGCTTCACCGGCTGGCTCTTACTTCTTTTATTCTTACATGTGTATTGATAACCAAATGTACACAGGAATTTCACCATTATCCAAAATCAAAAGTGAAAAATATGGAGCACATGATTAAGGCCAATTTTTTTGTTTTTTCTTTTTTTGGTTATATCCCCCCAATTATGTCCATTTTTCTTTGATTTCCACAAATTATCCATTGATTATTGAACAGCATTGCAGCAATCACACACCAGAAAAAAGAAAAAGAAAAGATGAAGATTGAATAGCAGCCATATTTTTAACAGATGAATACATAGGAAAGATAGAGTAAAAGCACGCAAATCAAGCAATTCGGAACCTAATTGAACTCCAAGCCAGTGGTATAGCTACACTCCACAGGCCTAACCCCAAAATCACAAATAAACCTGCAACCATCCGGAGTCGAAGGCTCTTTTGGGACACTAACGATTATTCATCCACAAAAAACAGTTGACACTAATGATATGCTGCAGGTGAGGGTGCCCATGTCTGTGTCTCTCAGCAGAGAGCATTTCCATTGTCATCTTTTTCAAAATTGTTCGTTGGCCTGAGACATTTGAATACTCTTTGTTTTTATGCAAAGAAAAGGATGAGGGAATATTCACGTTCTTTGAATAATTCTCTTCTCTCAAAGAAGTTGCCCACACACACACACACACACACACACACACACACACACACGGTGCTAAGCTGACAGAGACTTTCAAGGGGAGTCTTTACCAGCAGGATTTGAAGGCCTTCTTGAACCAATATTATTGAATTTTGCCAAAAAAGACACCAGGACCTAATAACCAAAATCTTTCAGTAAAAATTGAAATCATGCAAAACCTAATTCTTGTGCTTAAATTTCCATAATTGAAAATCTCATTTTTCTTTCTTTCTTTCTTTCTTTCTTTTTTTTTTAAACACAAATAGAATATAAAAAAAAAAAAAAAAACTAACCACACACGAATAGTTAGTCAAATACCAAATGTATCCCTACAAATCCACCTAGCAATTGACAGCAATAGGATAAAGCAATAAAGTAGTGTGAAACCAGTCTCAAAAGGACTCCTCAAAATATGCGAGGAACTACAAAATATTTTCACTAGAGCAAGCATGATGACGAAGCTTGAATTTCTTTGTTGATGCCTGTTTTTATTGGTGACAACTTGATATGCGAAGCAATTTACACATCTGTGTAAGTGAGATCAAAACTGAATCAGTATCAGCGATATGGCATTTCTTGCTTCACATGACAAGTGTGACTGCAAAATAACAGAATGACCCCATCTTGCTTCATGCTTCAATAAACGAAGACTTGCCCGCAATTATCTTGGAGATGAGCACGCTTTTCGTATCAAACCAATCAGAAAATGTCCACCATTTTCAGCAAACCAGAATCGAAATTGCCACCTCTTGTCTTGCAGCTTACTTTGCAAATTTCCTACTTCATCTCTGGTGAGCAGGTTGCTTTGCAGGCGTTAGCTTTCGAAATGCAGCATGCAAAATCATAACTGCAAGGATGAGGAAATAGCAGCTCACATGAGGGGCAATGAAAATTATTGAATGAGAAGGTGGACCATGAGGGTTTCCCTCATCATACAAGTAGAGAAAAAGAAGTAACATCTAATTTTTACCTGTATAACTAACGCCAAGTGCACAAAAGAGAGCCATTTGAACATTTAGACATATCAGAACAACCGCAGTAACTGCAATGACAAGATGATATGGTGAAGTCAGGTACAGAAAATAATTTTCATTATCCACAATTCGGCTTGCTATACTCATTTATATATATGCTTACATTGTTACAAAAAAGACAAGTCAAATATGAACGGGAAAATGGAAGTTAAGTATTAATAATACATAAAAGACAAGTCAAATATGAACGGGAAAATGGAAGTTAACTATTAATAATACATAATTTTTAAAGAATTTCAACCTGTCCGATTCTATATATATATATATATATATATATATATAAATTTTTTTTTTTTTTTTTTGAGGTACAAACACAGGATTAAAATGGAAGAGCACTCTATTTCCAATTGGTTTCACGATCATTCAGTTATGACAGCATTGGCCCTAATTCTAGCTTATATGCAGGACCTTGTTCAATCTTATATAAAACCAAATGCTTGTGAAAGAGGCAAACAAACTGAATTCCAGCGGCCATGATTTTTTCAGATCAGTCTGCTCTATACCTAATATTCTTGAAAGTACCAACCATGTCTTTTAGTTACAGAGCAGGCCTGTTTTGTGCAAGAGATAATGATTTATGATAACTAAAGGAAAAGACTTGATAACTTACCACATTGGACTGCACGGACCATAACTTGCCGAATTACAGGATATCGATCCCATGCCCACCTAACATCACAGAACTTGAAAATATCCCAAAGTGCCAAACTTGATATCAATCCAATCAGAGCAAGTGGCATTTGATACCTAGAACCCCAATGACATGAAGCGTTAATTACCAGAAAAGAATATTAAAAAACCACAACTAATAATAATCATAGGAATTTGTGTGTCATAACCATCCCTATCACCATCCTTTGGAAAATACAAAGGCATAAAGGTCAGATTAAGGATGATGCAGGTCCAATGTTTGTCTTCCATACCTACTGAAGATTGAATTTCTACCGTATTCCAATTTCTATAGCAACTCCATAATCACTATAGGTTTATAGGACCATCAACCAACAACTAAAACTCAAAAAAGACTGTTACAATATCAAACTATCAGCCAAATTTAGATAATTTCAATATCCCATCAATTGTTTAACAGTCCTAATATAACCCAAAAGACATGTAAAACTTGAGCAAACAGGATAGTAATCTACAAGCAACACAATTTACTTGCATAAAAATTAAGACCACAAAACCCAAAATTCATCTTGCCCATTTCATTTCACTCCCTCGAATTTTCTCAGCAACCAAACGCACCCACAGGGAAAAAAAAAAAAAAAAACTCGATCTTTCCAATCTTTTCACAAACAAAATTGAAAATTGAAAACAACTCAAACGAAAACACACATAAATAAACGTAAGCGTAAAGAAACACAGCAAACACTTACAAAGTACAAGCAAAGAAGAGAATGAAAAGGGACGCATAATTTCTCGCATAACGTTTAACATTCTCATTAACCCGGAGCCTAGCCTGGTCCGACCCGGATGGAAACGAGTAGGACCTACAGTCGGCAAAAAAAGACCGGGTCCAAGATGGGGTTTGGCCCGAAAAGTCATCGGTGGCGAGTTTGGAGAAGGGGTTAAGAGTGAAGAGAGAAAGGAGTGTTAGAATATGGGAAAAGAATGAAATGAAAAGGCCAGTGGCTGTTGCTGTCGTGGCAGTCATGGTGGTGGTGGAGGTGGTGGTGGAGGAGGTGGTGGTGGGGGCTGAAGAGTGTTGGTCGAGAATTTCGAGGTAGCCGGAGTCGCGGAGCCATGTGTCGAAGGTGGGGTCGGGAACGCTTAGTGATAGAGGGTTTGATGAGAAAACCATAATTTGATGAGCACAAAGAAGAGGTAGAGGAAGAGGATAGTTGTTTCGGTTTGGGTTTTGGGATTCTATTTCTCTTGGTTTTATTTTATTTTATTACTATTTGTTTTTTTTTTTTTAAATTAGAGATTTTCCTTTTTTAGGTTGCAAACCACATTTTTCTTGCACTTAAAATTTGATTAAAAAAAACCCACTATGCAGTTCTTTTGATTGATAAATTGTGATTGAAATACATGAAAAAAAAAAAAAACAATTTCATTCATATTATATAAGACTAGCATTATAATGCTATTTTGAAATTTAATTATAAAAAATATAGAAGATCGGAACCCTAAATCTTAACCATTTAGTTATATATATATTTCTAAAATTTTTAGCTCATGGTAGATTCTTTTATAGATGTATTAATTGAAATCAAATTAGACATAATATTAGTATTTTGAGGGAAAAAAAATTAATCCAAAAGTTCATGTCGTATAAAAAAATTACATGTATATCTAGTTTTATTTAATATTATTCAATTTATCCAAGAAAAAATTGTTTTTTAAATGTTTTTTTTTAAAAAAAAGATTCAAGATGACAAGCTATTGTAGCATTTCATAATAATTGGCCTTCATCCAATCCAAAAAGTCAACAAATTTTAATTTTGACCTTTTAAAAACAAATTAAATTTATTGAGAAAATTTAAAAAATCCAACTTAGAACATTTTGATTTAATATTTGTAATTAAATTTTAGGTAAATATAAAATAAAGATCAATAAGTTAGAAATGAGAAGTAACATAGGATTAAAGAAAATGGAAAAAGATGAATTTATTGGTGAGTAAATAAGGATATAAAAATCTACACCCAACCAACCTCCCCAAAACCGTGCCAACCAACAACGTTCACTTTCCAAACGACGAGAAATGTCAAAGAGTCGTTTGTTCAAACACCTATCGTACACTCTCTTTCACCACCACCGCCCATCATCTCTTTCTCCTACACTTTCAATTTACAAATTTCCTCATCAATGGAAGAAACCCAACTCTTCTTCACTCCTCTCAAAATCTCCCATTTCTTCTTCTTCTGCACTTTCTTCTTCTTCTTCAGTCGCTGCTTCGCCCTCAACAGCAACAACAACAAGTGAATCCTCTGCTTACCTTTCTGTTCACATTCGATGCCCCAGACATGTCGCTGTAACCATGACCCCTCAAGTCTTTCTTTCATTTTCTAACATGGGTTCTTTTGTTTAACTACTTTACGTTTTTTATAGAGAAGTTGTTATTTGTGCACGTAAAGAAACTTTGGATGAAATTTTAGTATTAAGGTTTAGATATGAATAAGATTTTACTTATTTAATAGGGCTATTCGTCATGTCATCAGGATAGCCTTTCAGAGGCGCTTTTATGCTTTGGTGCAAGTTCTACAAGTATGGATGAAGATGATGACTTTGATAGTTCTACTGAGGTGAGCCTTTAAGTCTATGCTATATTTATTCATTGATTGGAATCTGGTGTGATACAATGCCATGCTATTGTTGCTAATGCATCATCTTTGTTTGCTTGAAAGTTTTGTTTTTTCCCCTTCTATGTTCCACATCAATAAATTAAGAAATAAGCATCTTTGATAAAGTTAGAGATGGGCTAGTTACGAAAGGGTTATTTGTTTACATGGCTTGGATATGTGCCATTTAAACCTTTAAATGCAGCATGAGCAAGAGTGATTACATCATTACAATGATATAGAAAGGATAAAAGAATGAGAGTCTATAAAAATACATGGGTTGAAATCAAAGGAAACAATTTGATTTCTATCTACCCATTTATGTCCCATCTGATAATAACACGATATTCAAAGGAGTAGATTGACCTTTTGATGATGATAAAGGTTAATCTTAATTTCCTGGTATAGACATGCTTCCATGGAGATGCTTTCTTGAACTTAGATAATGTATTGCATATTTGGTTTGCTTTTGTCTGTTCCTACTTATTTAATTCTTCAACTCAACTTTGAATTACTATTGGGTTCACTGACCAAAAAATGTGATTAGAGAAGGACGAGAATGCTATAAAGAAACTCGGAGTCTTACCTTATAATTTTATTTTTATTTATTTATTTATTTATTTTGTAGGTCTGCATTGATTCCATATTTCCTGAATGTGAACTTGTGGATGTGTGCATTTCACAAGCAGCTGATTCCATTGGCTTGAAAGAGATACCGACTTATGAGGTTAAAAGTGGGGATCAATATGACTGGGTTAGGAAAACTCAGGTGGATTTTCTTTTCTTGTCCACTCTCTTCCAGCTGTAAATAGTTCTTGTTTTTCTAGATTATTCAATTAGCATTGCTCATGTTGCTTCTTTGCATTCTTTCTCCCTTTGGGAATTCTATAGTAAATGGTGAATGTGAAAACCTTTTCTATCTTGCTTGTTTTTCCAACTGAGATTTTCTAACTGAATCTAGGAAAATAGTTCTGCACTTCCACTGAATTAACCAATATTCTTATCTTGGTAGCATTCTGTCTAAGAAATGAGAGAGCAGCAATGATCCTCTTTTCCAAATTGGGTTACTAAGTGGACCAAAAGACACAGATGACTCTTGATAGAACGGAATACCCTTGCTTTAGCTTCCTTGAGGTCATAAATAAAATAAGGCTATGTTTGGTATGACTTTTGCAAATTAATTTAAATTGTTTTTTAACTTTCTAATCGAAGAAAAGTCAAAAGTATGTTTGGTTAGAAATAACTGAACTTTTAACATATGGATTTCTGACTTACACTACATTGCTTCTTCAAAAAGTTGCTTTTAGTCATTTTTACCAAACATATTTCTAAGTTAAAAAAGTCATTTTAACTCATTTTTGTCACAAGTTATTTATGAAAAAACAAGTTTTGGATTATGACTCAAACTCAAAAATCATAATTCATAAGTGATGCCAAACGGACTCAATTGAATTCAACGCCCACCCACCCCCTCCATTCCTTTTTTTGTGTGACTAAAAGGAAAGTCCTCGTTCACTTATCCAAGAACCTATAAGCAGATGGGTTCTGGTAATATTTTCACTCCCTGTGCATGTGTGCAGCTTTATATTTTGTTAGAGCATGCCCTACCTTCACCACTGCACCTGATGAAACAATATAAGAAATTTGAATAAATGACAATTGATTAGTCACTTGAACTTTTCAGGATTTATTATGAAACATTGCATGGATTATTGCTCTTATTGTTCCCAATGAGGCAAAGATTTGGGGCTATGCTGATAAACTCTTACCTGTTTGCTGTATTTCAGTGGCGATAAAATTTATATTCATTTCTTATCTCTTACAGGAATCATTTCATCCAGTTGAACTTGCTAAAGGACTTTGGATTGTGCCTGAGTGGAGATCTCCCCCCGTATGATTATCCCAAATTATCTTCTTTACCGTTTTACTTGAATCATTTCCTGCCATATATTGGCATCTCATTTTTCCTTGCTTCTTTGAAACCTAAAATAAGACTCACGCATGTGCCATGCACTCACTCTTCAATTGTTGAGTATTTAGTTGCATTTTACTTGAAATTTATGGGCTTTGTTAGGAGATTCATAAAACAGCTACATATTAAAGTTGAAGCTATCGCTCAAATAATTTCTTCCATGTTTACACCTTCTGCAAGTCTGATTTTCAGTATGCAAAAAGGAGAAAGTTGTGTTGGTAGTAATTGAATGGGTATGAAATGTTTGCTTTGTCCCAACAGGATGTTCAAGCAACTAATATAATCCTGAATCCTGGATTAGCATTTGGAACTGGAGAGCACCCTACTACTAAGTTGTGTCTGTTGCTACTACAACACCTGATAAAGGATGGAGAACTTTTCTTGGATTATGGCACAGGTTCCGGAATTCTTGCAATTGCAGCGCTGAAGGTAATCAAATTCATTTTGTATTTGAACCCTTGATTATGAACTAAATTGGAACCTCATTTATTAAAGACTCCACTGATATATTCGAGATAACAGGTCTGGTCTTAAGAATATTAAGCTGTATGAAGCTTATGTGCAAACCAATGGTGTCATAAAACTATTGTTTGGTAATTTTCAGTTGGGTTGCCTCATTTAGTGTCTCTCTTGCAAGTTAAAAGACAAAAGGTCATATCTAGCTTTGGTCCCACATAAATATGTGACTAGTGTGTGGATCAGTCATGAGTGATGCTATCATCACACAAATTCAGAATAATGTACACGCTTTTCTGTTTCTTACCATGCACTCTCTGTTTCTTGAATTTTTTTTCCTGGATTTTTAAATTTGACATTATGATTGTCATCTATTTGTTTTTGCAGAATAAATTCTAACATGACTTTCTAGTAACAAATCATTTATGATGCCAACTGATTCTCAAATTCTGATTTGGCATTATCACTGGCAATGCAGTTTGGTGCTGCTCTGTCAGTTGGATTTGATATAGATCCTCAAGCAATCACTTCTGCACGTCATAATGCCACTTTGAACAGTATAGGACCTGAGACAATGGAACTACACCTAGTTTCTGGTAAAACTTGCTCTTCCTTGATGGATGGAAGAAAAGATGAAACTGTGAAAGAGCAGAACTGTTATGGAACAGGAGTCATCTCTGAAACAGAAAAATACGATGTGGTCATTGCTAATATTCTCTTGAATCCTCTCTTGGAGTTGGCCGATCATATTGTTTCTTATGCTAAACCTGGGGCAGTTGTTGGCCTGTCTGGTATTATAGCCGAGCAGGTATGATTCAATGTGGCTAGATATGGTCAGTTTTGGTCTTCTGGTAACGTAAGTCAAAAAAAAAAAAAAAAAAAAAAAAAAAAAACCAGTAACTAAAACTTGTCTTCACCTCTCCAATAATCACATTGTAAAATTATATTGTAGATCAAATTGGTGGAAGCTGGCCAAGCCATTCTTCCCATTCACGCATAAGTGAGATCCCTTGATGAGATGACAGGAATTGACATCTATCGTATCCCATGTATAGGGATCTTCTGGTGGTTGACTATCTAATTACGTATTGGTCAGAGATGTGTGCGACCTGATTTAATTTGATTGTGTCTTCTATGCAGTGCTCATGTATTGTCGATCGATATTCAGTGCTCTTGGAAGACATATCAGTGTCAGAGATGGATGGCTGGGCCTGTGTAAGTGGAAGGAGGAAAATTTAGTTTAATAGGAGTTGAAGAAGATCGTACTCACTGTTGAAACTATGGGCAGCCACACCTAAATTAGAAATTATTATGTTGAAGCTGTGAATTGTGATCACTCTACCAGTCATTTGGGTTCCTTCCTATTCTGTCGCGGGGGTGCGACAAATCTCAAGCTCATGTAGATATGGTGGAATTCTGAAAGCCATGTTGCTAGAGTCATTCCATCCTGAGATGTGGAACACTGTGAAGCTACCTTGTGGTTTGTCAAATCGAAGAAAGGGTTGCAGATTTTCTGAGGTAATATCTCTCACCTTCTTTTGATAATTTTTTTTTAGTAATTTTTTTTTTTTTTTTGGTGTAGTTGACTGATCCGGGTGTGCGTCAAAGAATGGCAAATCTGCCTGAAAATGAGGGGGCAAAATCTTTTCAGCTATTGTAATCATGAAGAAGGTTAATTGTACAGATACTGGGATTAAATTGTCCATTTCAGCATTAAGGCTTTCCGGAGCCCTTTCCTAATTTCTCATTGCCCCCTTATTTTGTTGAATTGGTCAAATATGTCTTGTGGGTCATATAAAAGGTTTGCTGAAGTAGCCCTTTCCTAATACCAAGGAAGCAATGGTATTAGTAATAACTCAACTATTGTTTGGGTGGAGCACATAGCCATATATCCACCACTTCCTTGAAGATTAGATCATATTAAATGCTTCTTCTTTTTTTCTTTTTTTTTTTTTTTTTGCTTTTTAATTAACTTTTATTAGTTTCGAAACACAACAAACGGTAGAGAGGAGATGTTCTCACCATAATTGGAATGTGACACGTGTCCCTCTTTCTCAAAAAATCTAAATTGACTTTGGATGGACAAAAGGACCTTTGTTGTCTAACGTCGGATTGTCCTATGAGGACTTAATTGATCAGATTAAAACCACAAGAATGTCTTTGTCAAAAATCAATAGTAGAAAGACTTACAGAATTATTAAGTCCTCATCTATGCTTTAGTAGCCATGGCGTTCTCTGAACATGCTGTTGACTACTATGGCGATCATATTTTCACGACTGTCACAGCATCAGCTTCTGTTGTTGATAAATGGATGGGTCAGATACTGTATATTTAGGAGAGCAAATTGAGTAAGCTTATTGTTGGCCTTGACACGTATTGGCTCCTGCCTGCTTATCCTGGTGAATTACAAAAAGATTGCCATCTTAGAGCCTCGTGTGGGTCGAAGTTTCCTTATTTTCCAACTCTGTCATGCAGACTATTTTCCTCAATCTCTGATTGATTTTCTTGGCTACAAGAGATTCACTTTTGTTGGGAAAGAGGTGATGAACGATGCGCATAAACTTAAGAATGATTATGGACTGGTTGTAGGGCATTGTGAGGATGTTGCACATTGGGCTGCAGCAAACTACGGTGGTGAGGAGGATTATAGGAGGTTTGGATTAAAGCGTTTAGTGCTTAAATATTTGAAGAAAGAGTTAGAGAAACCGCTTAAAATAACATTAAGTCGATGGGAGTTTAAGAAGCTTAGCTATCAACAAATGAAGTATGCTTGCCTGGATGCTTTTTTCTCCATTAAGCTTGGGGAATTTCTTAGCAAGGCTACTTAGTCCTCTACGTTCCAAAGGAAACCTTAAGAGTATTCTCTTCTTCTTTGTTGTTTTGATAGCTCAAGTTTTAGAATTCACTATAAGAAAACCAGAAAATACCGATTGAAGTTTTCTTCACTAAATTATCATTTTTCATCACTATTTACTTTTAGTGATGGATTTGCAAAAAAATATTTTTTAGCGGAGAAAAGAATCGTTGAGAGATATATTCTACTTTATAGTCAAAACAAATGAGTGGTTGTGCAGCATGCTCCGGAGGAGATTCAACGAAGTCAACGCCAATCTTTTTATCGACCTCTCGATCTTTTTCGTTGCTATTATTTTAGCAACGGAAATTTCTATTCATCATTGATCATCAACAACCTATTCGTCGCTAAATCAAAATAAACGAGTCATCTTTCGAGTTTGGTATCTATCGCTATTCTCCGTATTGTCGTTGCTACTTAGTGATAAAATTGTCATCGTTAAATCATACTTGCTAAAATTCCTCGTAAATCCGTCACCATATCCATCGCTATTTAGTGACAATATATGTGTCTATCGCAAAGAGGTTTAATTTTAGTCGCTAATTCGCTCGTTGATCCATCACTAAATAAAAGAAATTTTTATATATATATAAATTAATAGCCGTTTAATGTTACTTGGTAGTAGGAAATAATTAAAAATAATACCTTATTAAAATACGATATATTATTTAATAAAATTAAAATAATATAAATTAAAGTCCAATAAATATATAAATGCGTTTAGGTGTACAAAAATATTAAAAACCTAAAAAAAAATTAGTTCTCCTCATCATCATCTCTTGCATCATTTTTTGACTATTGTGTATTGAGAGGAACGGTTGACTCATGGATTGTAGAGTGGTCGGCAAAAGTGACGCGAGTCTACTACATGTCCCGTAACAACCTAAGCACCATCTTCATTTGACTCTATAGAGTTTGGAATTTACCCTCATGTTCTTGGAACCGTTGAGTATAGTCAATCTTCATCCTCTTCATCGTATCTTCGTATTGGGTAGTAACCTCTTGAATATTACCACTAGGATACCACGATGTGGTAGAGAAGAAGTTGATGCCAAAATAGGAGTAATACTAGGATGCTTGTGTTTCAAGACCGTACACTCGCCGCTTTTTCTTCTTTCTTACAATATCAAAATATATTTTGGTCATATCGATATTTGGAGACGATGAATCACCCTCTTGATAATCCTTAGCAGTCGCTTCTTGCAATGAATGCACACGCTCTTATGTAGTTGAAATAATTATAATATTAAATTATAGATATACTTTTTAGATTATATAAATAGATGTATATTTATAAAAATAAAAAACTTACCATTATTTTTTGGAAACTCATCCTTCCACTTCGTGAGTATTCGAAACACCTCATAAGGATTTGGGTTACGACTCAATTTATTATGCTGAAAAAATATATATAAAATAATACGAAATGAAATAATTATAAATAATAATTTATGACACAATGAATAATAGCATTTATCAAACGTTCAAGCATACTCAATCAAAGAGATGAACTCGTTGTATGCCTAGATGAGACACATCGGCACCATCCGTTTTTGACATACGATTTTAGGACATCTACCGAGATCAAGCTCGAAACTCAACTTTGGCCTAATCTCGACACCATGCATCCCACACACCGCTCTATAATAAAAGTGGGTTTATTGGTCTTATGCTTCGACTTGTTCAATATATCGACATACCACTTTCATACCGGACTTTTCCATGCATCTTTAATTAGCGCATCGACAATCATTTCCCATAAAATACTTTACATGAAGAAAAATAATAATATTACTAAGTACATTTCATGTTAAATTAATAATTTAAATAAAAATATAAATAAATAATTAATATGTTATCATAAACTTATTAAAGTAGAAGTCTTTCATTTTCATAGAGATAAACTTCTATGTGAATTCAATAGGGTCCAATCGCTTCTTGAATATTATGGTAATTTTTATAGAGTACTTACTTGATAAAACAAAACTATCGAACAAAAAAAAATAAATAAATAAGTGAATTAATGATTTCAATATGATATATAAAAATATAAAACTAATTAATACATGTGAAGCATATTACTTATCGATTATTGATGAACCGAATGATCCGTCCAATATCGGATCTAGTAGAGCTTCTTGGAGTCGAAGAACTATCAAAGAGACTTTACGGTCGAGGCTAGCATGGGCACTACTTACGAGGATACGGACGTGTTAGCACCATTATCAAGTCCACGACCCCGGAACCAAGCATTAACGGTATCATGGCCACGTACGGTGCCATTATCAATAACACAATCACGGACACTACCGGTATCGGTGCCACGACTACGAACACTATCACTATCAAAGCCACGACCACTACCAGCTCGAACAAATCTATTTGCATCCGATGTTAGGGTGAAAAGATTTAATCCATGAGACATAACTCTAAAATAACACCCGAAACAGATTCAAAAAATATAAAAAATGAATAACATTCGACTAAAAATATGTTATAAATTATTTCCATAAAAAAAAAATCAGCATTGTCTTCCCGGTAAATTAGATATTCCCTAATTACTTGAGATGTTACATGTATAAAATTTAACACATCCAAAATATACAACAAACATCTAAAAAATGCATAAATAAAATGATATAATTTAAAGGATACAATAAATACAATTAATTTTTCATTGTAATTGTCATAATCATCTTTTAAGTTTTTCTCTCCCTCGGTCGATTTTGATTCATATCCACTCTCATCTTCTTCATTACCTTCAACTACGTCTATATCTATAAACGATCTATTTAAATCATTCAACAACTACTCCTCACCATCTTTTTTGAATCAAATAGTGTTGAATTTTCGAATCATCCTCTTGAAACGGTTCTACATTTTACTTGGACTCCAATAGACGATTCTAGCAAATTAACCACAATCCTAGCTTTTATCTCATAAATTGTCCACTTATCCCAACTATCATGTTTCAAGATAGGATATGTGACATAATACATTTGAGTCATTTATTCTGCTAGAATAAAAGGTTTGTATCTGTTGAAACCCCTTCTATAGTTTATCTCCGTTAGTCTATATTAGGATGAACCCTTTTCCCGTCGATGTATGATTAAACCAATCACATTTGAACACTACTATTCTTTTGATTAGTAATGTAAGATACTCTAATTATATAATTTCGATCAATGTCTCGTATTAGTCACTCTCATCCGTATCGTAGTTAGATCTTTTAATACACATTACACTATTCATACTTGCTATGTCTAAACCATGTCCTTATGAGTGAAACCTACATCTATTCCTAATGTACCCTAGATACAAGTTTACAATTTGTAAAAGACCTTTTCTAAGATCTTTTATGAGATAGTTTGTCATAGAGTTTGGTTGTGCATATTTTATCCGTAAAATTAACATCTATGATAAAAAGTTTAATTAACAATCAAAGAATCCTACCTACTAACAAAGCCCAATCTAAAATAAGGATACTCATATATTCACTAAACCATTTGGCAAACTCAATTTCAAGTCAACCATCAACCTCATGCTTGAGCATGTAGGAATTATCTTGTTGCGGTTGGACAACATATCCACTATCGAGAAATCATATGTTTAACGTACGCGAGTTAACTTATATATTATGATTACTAATTAAAGATGAAGAATATTGATATTAAATCTTACACACTTACTCAATGTAAGGTTTAACTTCTTGACGAGTTTAATGATATATATTGATGGATTGGTTTGCACTCTTTTTTGGTCAACCTCTCGTATACCTCATCGCAACACATTTTGAAAAAATGGTGCTTCGACTTAAGGTTTAACAATCGAACAACTACGGACAACGAGTGAGTGATTTTCACAAACATGCCAAATCTTTCTATTTTCTACATTCAACATGTCGGAAAAAGCTTGAGCATCGAGATTTGACATCTCGTCTATGCTAGATCGATTAAATGATGGATCGACTGCATCCATCATCATTATTTGATATGGATTAAAGGGTTCACCATAACTTCCTTCGCCTTCATGATAAATTTTTCACACAAAATAACAAAATAACTCTCGACTCAATTTTTTCAAGGTGTATCCAATCATAATATCCAGGCATAAAATCATATCTCACTAAATGGTATTTAACGAGCGTGAACTTTTTTAAAATTTTTATTCCAACACTTATGACGATTATAAGGACACCTTAACTTTCTTTCATACAAACATTCGGGATGAGTGACAACAAATGTGAAAAATTCTTCAACCTCATTCATGAAATCATCATTTAAATACTCATCAATTAACCTAACATCCATCCATACACAATCGGATCTCATTATTTTGTTTATATATTTTTGAAGCAACAAATAATTATTTAATTAATAATTTTTTTAAACATCTAACAAAATTTCGATAAAGCCTTCCTTTTAAATTAGACATTTCTCAATTATCGGATATGTCAAATGACCACAAAAAAACTAGATTTAAAATACACAACACATGCAAACATTTTTAACTAAACATGATAATACAAACATCAACCAACAATCAATGTATGCACATCGAGACCGACACTTGCCTCGGATACTCTATTAAAATTAAATCACAAACTCGTCCTCCTAGCTCCATCATAGAGTATTGAACCAACTTTATTTCTCCTCAATCATCAATAAAATAATTAAATTAACTTTAATTCAAACCTAATTAAATATTAAATAATAAATATTTAATAAATTGCAATATAAATAAAATTAGAAATGAACAAATTAATCAAAATTAAACTAATTAATTTAAACCTAAATCATATTAACTTAATTAAATCTAATTCAAACCTAATCAAATTACCTTAGTTAAATCTAATTCAAATCAAATTAAATTTAAAATAACAAATAATTAACAATTTCCAATATAAATAAAATTAAAAACCAACCAATTAATAAAAATTAACCTAATTAGTTTAACTCAAATTCAAATTAACCT